TTCACTGAAGGAATGTTTTAACCGTGAGAGAATGAACAAAGCAGGTGCAGAAAAGCTTCAGGAAGCAACAACAAGTGTTCAGTCAGTTCAAGGCAAAGTTACAAGTCATGGGGGACTTCCACCACACGAGGAAACGATAGGAAAATGACCAGCTCCCAAGGGAGAAGACATTGATAGCAAAGCTAATAGAGACAGGTTTTGTGACTAGTTGACTCTTTATTAGAGTTATTTATATTCTTAGTTGAGGTTGATGATAAACTAACGAGAAGAATTAGAAAAGAAGATTTTACAGAAGAATTGCATTTACATAACTCACAAATCTAACTCCTAAGAAACATGTTAACAAAAGAACGTCTACAGCAAATGCTAAACTGGCAGCTGTTCGGGTAGTATTTAGGAGCCTAAACAAGGAGGCCTTCATATCAATGCATTCAACCTACATCAGACCGACCCTCGAGTATGCAGCTCCAGGCAAAATTATGTATCTTTAAAGAAGAGAAATTCCAGATATTTGCAACTAGGTTTGTTCCTCACTGAGGGAACTCAGCAGCAACGAACATCTGCAAGAATCAAGGGACTCTCCCGACGCTGCAAGGAAGAAGAAGAAGAAGCAGAACACACAGCAACAACGAGCAAGATATTAAGGAGAACTGCCAGAGAGGAAAAAGAAAACACTTTTAAAGTGGGATACAGAAGGAGTAGAGGCACAACATTAAATTAGCTCCGAGAAGAGATTGCCGAGGCGAATACGATAAGCAACTTGAAAGGAAAATACGACGAGACACATGAGAATGAGAGTCATTGCATTAAATTACCAGTGGGTAAAAAGGTGGGGCTTGTATGCTCCTGTTGCTCGACCCTGCAGGCACAAGCGGTGGGTAAACAAGTGACACACACACACACGTACACACTCACACACACACACACACACACACACACACACACACACACAACACACACACACACACACACACACACACACACACACACTGTGGTTTCATCTGCATCAACTACAGTACCATCAATCATCTCACCTCCCTCTCCCCTCATCTCCTCTCCTCTCCCCACCACTCCCCTCCTCCTCCGTGCCCCCCCCCCGCGGTGTGCAGCATCCGGCTTCAAAATTAAGCACAATTTGCAGATCCGAGGAAGCAGAAAGTGAATGGGGCACAGTGCAGGGTGATGAGGGGTGGAGGGGGGAGGGTGATGGTGCATTGTTTGGGGGGGGGGACATAGGAAAAGATGATGAATAATGATAACTGGAGAGTTGGATAAAGAGAGTGAGGTAAGAGACGGGAAAAGAGGAGTGGGAAGGGAAAGAGATATAGAATGGTCGGTACAAGGAATGGAGAGAAGGGGAAGAAATGGAAGAGAGGGCTTGACAGAGCGGTGGGGGAGTACGGAATGAGAGTGAGGGAGGGACAGTAGGGAGGGGAGGGGAGGGGGAGGGGGAGGGAGGGGGAGAGGGAGGGAGGGGGGATCTGGCTGTTTTAGCAGACATGAACACGTCACATGTAATGGGAAGACTAATGGATGGTTGATGCTGCGGAAGACCCAGAACACCGCAGAGATGAGGGAGAGGGAGGGGGGGGACGGGGAGAGGGAAGGGAGAGGGAAGGAAGAGGGAAGGGGGAAGAGAATGGGAGGGAAGACGGGGAGAGAGAAGGGAGAGGGAGGGGAGACGGTTAGAAATACGGAAAATTGGGAGACTGGGGAGACTGTTACTACAGGAAAATAGTTTTTTATGTGGTTGATTGTTCAATAAATCACTGAACTATATAGTTATCGAATCTCTGCCCCTGTCCATGGAGGACAGAAGAAAATGTAAATATGTTGGTTAGCATTGTAAATGTATGGCCATATCTGTGGTAGAAAATAATAATAAATAATGGGGAAGGTGATGAAAGGAGCGCGTATATCACTTTACAGGGAGAGAGAGAGAGAGAGAGAGAGAGAGAGAGAGAGAGAGAGAGAGAGAGAGAGAGAGAGAGAGAGAGAGAGAGAGAGAGAGAGAGAGAGAGAGAGAAGGGATCGAGTTACCTCACTTGCAATAAGCTATTTGTGCCTGCAAGATCGATCTTTAGATCTTAAGTTCCGTTATTCAAGCAGCTGGTTGTCTAATGCAATGACTCCTGCCCTTCTTCCTTTAACATATCCACTTTTAAAATAATAATAATAATAATAATAATAATAATTCATTGTGTCGATGGACAGGCAGGCAGCTAATACATACATTATATACAATTGATATATATTGAAAACATTTCCTTTTTTTTTCCACACTGTCAACACCTCTCAGTATTTTATGTGTCTCTATCATGTCTCATCTTCCCCCCCCCCCGTCATATCTAACGAACGTTAAATCGAGGTGTTTCCATCTTCTAACCCCATCCCTCGATTCTGGGACGAGCCTCATAGCAAAGTTCTGAACCTTCTCGAAAGAGAATATGTTGTGATGGTGAAAAGCACTATTACAGGACAATGACCAGCATGTAGGCTAAGCTGACTAGATGAAATCACGTGTAATAAGACGCAATTACTTAGGTGTGTCTAGAAGACTCAACAAGACACACAACTAGACCAAGTAGTAGTTCCCCATCGCCTTCCTGCTCTTGAGACTACGAATGCACTCAGTCGCTCAAGCAGTGTCTGGCGACACCAGCCTGGTGCTGCTGTGAAGGGAGGTTGAGTGGCAAGAATTGGGGGCAGACGGACCCCAACACCAGCCTGGTGCTGCTGTAAGGGGGAGGTTGAGTGGCAAGGATTGGGGGCAGACGGACCCCAACACCAGCCTGGTGCTGCTGTAAGGGGGAGGTTGAGTGGCAAGGATTGGGGGCAGACGGACCCCAACACCGACCAACATGCTACCATTGGCGTCCTTCTCAACCACACTCATGGTGGATGTGACGAGTGCTCCCAGCGCGCATGTGCTGAGTGGTCTCGAAACTATTATACATATTACTTGTAGTCAATTCCAGGGTTGTCCAATGCCATCTCGAACCGACATCAAAAGAGAGGAGAGTGAGAGTGAGTGGAATGCTTCTTGAAAAAGGAGAGAGTGAGAGGAGTGAGGAGAGAGTTAGAGAGGAAGGGAACGCTATTTCTCATAGGAAAATGGAAAAAAAGAGAGGGGAGGGGTAGCAGAACACATTACTTCGAAGAGGGGGTAGTAAGGACAATAAAGAACCACATATCAAATGACTATTCAAGAATGAAAGAGAAGGGAGAGAGAGCTGTGTGAATGTGAGAGGGAACAAACAAAAGGAGAAGAGAAGGATAAGGGCAACGTAGGGAACAATGAATGGGAAGAAAAGGAGTCCAAAACCTGTGAGCTGGACCCCTTGGCCCTAAACCTGTGCCTTAACCAAACCAACCTAACCTATCGTTACCATTACCAGGAAAATAATAATAATATTACATGGGGTATAACGTTTACTAACACTACGTGTTTTTAGCGGATTGGTTTATTACATAAAATAATGCATTGTATTAGTTGAGCAACCCGTCCTCTTAAAAATAACGTCACTTTTGGCTCGTATGCGCGCTATGGCCAAATTTGGACGTAATTTGAAATGAAATCGACTCACAAAAGTGACGTTCTGTTTCGTTTTCTGTTTGAGTCGTCCGGCGTACGCGCAGAGGTTATAAGAGGACACTTTAAATTAACGTTTTTCATAACGTTTTGAAACTTAAAGAGAATTTCCTGCCCACCTAACCTATCAGAGGACCCTTAACTTACTGTTGTTGAAAAAAAAAAATCCCAAATTTATTTTCATTTTTTTTTTCATTTTCAAATTACGTCCAAATTCGGCCATTCGGGCAAACGACCAAAAGCGACGTTCTTTTTAAGAGGACAGGTTGCCTCAAGGACAGGCTGGTGGACCACCATCGACTTATCCACACAGGCAATGACGCCTGTGGGATAGATAAGGTAGGTAGGATAACCTGTGGGATAGCGCGCGCTTCCTAAAAGCGAATGGCTATCATGAAGGTGAGAAGTGAGGTAAAACATCCTCCCCCCCCCCTCCAGTCTCTCACACTCTCTCTCTCACCCATCCTTACCTACCGTTCTTCCCTACTCACCTTCCCTTATCTCTACTACCCACTTCCTGCCCCTCACTCTCACCAGCCCATCCCACCTACAACTCCGTTCCATCCTGCTGTTCCGTCTATCACTATACAGAACCAGCCACCAGGCAGGACCAACCACCCCGGGCCACCGGAGTTCTAAAAGTGTAGTAGTAATAAGAGTTAACTACCATTACTCTCACACCAAAACTTCCCACACACACCATTCCGCAAATTGGAAAAGTTTAAATTTTTGCAATATATATTTTTTTTGCGACTCTGCTCGTAGGGAAATGGTATATTATATATATATATATATATATATATATATATATATATATATATATATATATATATATATATATATATATATATATATATATATTATACACACACACCTGTCACTCTGCCGCTCCTCCACACACCTGTCACCCGGCACCTTCCCGGGGTGTTTGTCTCCGGTGACAATGATCTGAACATGATGACAGAGAGAGAGAGAGATGATATATGGGACACTACTCTTTCCACACACTTCCCTTTTCCTTCCTTTCTGACACCACGCTTTCTCTCTCTTCTCCTTTCTCTCTCTCCCTCTCCTTTTTCTGTCCGCATCTCCTCTCATTGCCGAGCCTCTCACCTCCCTCCTCCTCCTCCGCCTATAACCCCCCTAATCTCCCCTCAGTCATTTTGTTACCTTTAATTGTTATTTTTTTCCGTACTCTTTCCGCCTTTTCTCATACTTCCTTTCAACTCCTTCCTCTAGTCTGCCTGTTTTGCACTTTCTCTGTCTCCCTTGTGTCTATTTCCCTGTCTACCTCTCCCTGCCTCTTCCCTTAGCCAGCCTCCCTGTCTCCGTGCCTCCTCCTCTCCCCACATCAACTCTCCCACTAAGGCGATTTATTGTGTAAATGTCTAGAAAATGAGAACATTCGTCATTGTCCTGCGTTACACCGTGAGGCGAAGGCTGGACTGGGGATAACGAGGCCCGGACTGGGGATAACGAGGGCTGGACTGGGGATAACGAGGGCTGGAGTGGGGATAACGAGGGCTGGAGTGGGGATAACGAGGGCTGGACTGGGGATAACGAGGGCTGGAGTGGGGATAACGAAGGCTGCAGTGGGGAAAACGAGGGCTAGACTGGGCATAACGAGGGCTGGACTGAGGATAACGAGGGCTGGACTGGGGATAACGAGGGCTGGACTGGGCATAACGAGGGCTGGACTGGGCATAACGAGGCCCGGACTGGGGATAACGAGGGCTGGACTGGGGATAACGAGGGCTGGACTTTGCATAACGAGGGCTGGACTGGGCATAACGAGGGCTGGACTGGGCATAACGAGGGCTGGACTGGGCATAACGAGGGCTGGACTGGGCATAACGAGGGCTGGACTGGGCATAACGAGGGCTGGACTGGGCATAACGAGGGCTGAAAGGAATGAAACAAGTGTTTGACTTGACCTAACAAGATGGACCAAAGCTAACAGGATGGATCACACCTGTGATGACATGGACGATATGACATGGACGATATGACATGGACGATATGTGCCACTTGATGTTAGTCATTTTCTGCTCCTTTTCATTCTGTCTTCATCTCCATTTCTACTCCCTCTGCCCTCTCTCCCCCCTTCTCCTTATTTCTTCCCCCCTCTCTCTCCCCAGCGAGGAAGCAAAGGCTGCGAACCTTGACTAACCCAACCTTGTTAACGATTGGGTGGCACTGGAGGGGGGGGGGAAAGAAGGGAAGGAAAGGGAAGGGAAGGGAAGGGAAGGGAAGGGAAGGGAAGGGAAGGGAAGGGAAGGGGGGGAGGTGAGGGGGAGTGAAATGAGGGAGGCGGAGAATAAGGGAAGACAGAAAGGAGGAGAATAAAGGAAAGGCAAGGAGAAAATGAGGAAGAGGAGAAAGGATGGATATTAGTGCAACAAAGTTGAGAAGGAATGCGAGGGAAAAAGAAGAGAGAGAGACAGACAGACAGAGACAGGGTATGAGAAAATGACAAAGAGATACATAATCGGTGTAAACTCCAAGACTAACACCGCCAGAATTAGTTCATACCCCCGCGACCCTCCGGCGTGCAGCCAGTCTGCAGATAAACCGGGAATTAACGACCGTGATGTAGATAATGCCGACATAAACTGAGATAACCCTGTTGACCTGTCTCCCCCACCCTGACACTGATGGCACCCAGCCAGGTCAGGTCAGGTCACACACCAGACGAATGAGGTGGTTCTTATCATCCCAGCCTCTTCACCAAACCCTGATTCACGACATTAAGATGCCTGCACGACCCTGTTTTACAACAGACGAGTTTGTCAAGAAAATTGAATCAATTATGAGGCTGATCAATTAGGAGACAGATCAGTTATATGGCTGATAGCTGCGATAGCAGTCCCATTAGTTTATGGGTGCAGTGGCTGGTGCAGTCAATGACCGAATATCTCACCATTAATAGCCCAATCTCCATCCTTGGTTTCGACGTGATCTTAATATGGTGGAGGTCCTGGTTGATACCTGGTTGATGGGGTTCTGGGAGTTCTTCTACTCCCCAAGCCCGGCCCGAGGCCAGACTTGACTTGTGAGAGTTTGGTCCACCAGGCTGTTGCTTGGAGCGGCCCGCAGGCCCACATACCCACCACAGAAAAGAAAAAACAGTTTTCTTTCTCAAAACAGAAAAAACTTTTCTTTTAGAAAACAGTCTAGTTTTCTCTTGAAGATGTCCACGGTTGTTCCGGCAATATTTCTTATAGTCGCTGGGAGGACGTTGAACAGCCGCGGACCTCTGATGTTTATACAGTGTTCTCTGTGCCTATGGCACCCCAGCTCTTTACTGGTTCTATTCTGCATTTTCTTCCATGTCGTTCACTCCAGTACGTTGTTATTTTACTGTGTAGATTAGGGACCTGTCCCTCCAGTATTTTCCATGTGTATATTATTTGGTATCTCTCTCGTCTCCTTTCTAGTGAGTACATTTGGAGAGCTTTGAGTCGATCCCAATAATTTAGGTGCTTTATCGCGTCTATGCGTGCCGTATATGTTCTCTGTATTCCCTCAATTTCAGCAATCTCTCCTGCTCTGAAGGGGGAAGTGAGTACTGAGCAGTACTCAAGACGGGACAACACAAGTGACTTGAAGAGTACAACCATTGTGATGGGATCCATGGATTTGAAAGTTCTCGTAATCCATCCTATCATTTTTCTGGCTGTCGCAATATTTGCTTGGTTATGCTCCTTAAACGTTAGGTCGTCAGACATTATTATTCCCAAATCCTTTACATGCTGTTTTCCTACTATGGGTACATTTGATTGTGTTTTGTACCCTGTATTATGTTTCAGGTTCTCATTTGTGCCGTATCTGAGTACCTGGAATTTATCGCTGTTAAACATCATGTTATTTTCTGCTGCCCAATCGAAAACTTTGTTGATATCTTCTTGTAATTTTTCCATGTCTTCAGCAGAGGTAATTTTCATGCTGATTTTTGTGTCATCTGCAAAGGATGACACGAAGCTGTGACTTGTATTTTTATCTATATCTGATATGAGAATAAGGAACAGCAGTGGTGCAAGGACTGTACCTTGAGGAGCAGAGCTTTTAACTGCGCTTGGACTTGATTTTATTTGATTGACTGTTACTCTTTGTGTTCTGTTCGACAGGAAATTGAGTATCCAGCGTCCTACTTTACCAGTTATTACCGGTCACATTCAGTGACCTTTATCAGGTCACTGAATGAAGCGGTGAGATCAAGTCGGTTTCCTGTATGAATGAATAAGGCCACGGAAGCCTGTCTGTCTATTTTTTGGTTATTCATGCCCGTGCCACCTCTTGGGTGGCTTAAACTTCATCAACCAATCAATCTATCTCTCCACAGCTTCCCTTCAATTCTTCGCTACCTTAAGCTAAGGATTTTCTATTATACTTTTGCTTTATTTAGTATTTAAAGTCCTATTTTTGCCCCCCCCCTCAAAAAAAAAATGTTCCTTTGATTGTCTTGGTGATATCACTTGGGGATCTTGCATGGTATGGTCATGTCCCTTGGTATCTTGATTTTTGTAGTGCGGTTTTATGTGCGGTGTGCGTGATTTTTATGTGTGTGTGCAAGTTGTATGTTGCGTGTGTATCTGTAGTGTATGTGTGTGGTGTTTATATGATGTTCGAGTGTGTTATAATATTTTTACAGTGTATGTGTGGTATGTGTTTTGTGTTTGTGTGTGTGTATGCATGCGTATATGTATATAAAATTAGTCTCCTCACATAGAAAAGCAACAACGTTATATAACATACAAACAAGCAAACAGACAAACACAACAAATGATTCGTGGAGACCATCCCGTATATTTCCCTCCATTTTGTTTACTCTTTGGAAAAGCCTAAAAAAATAATAATAAAAAGAAAAGTCCCAAAGCCAGGCATTTAGAGGATGAAATACGGGGAGGGGGATAACGGTAAATAAACAGATAACAGAAGATTAACGGTGCGTTTAACAGTAGTCGAGGAAATTATATCGACCCATTAAGTTTCATGACGAATGCATTGGGGTGAGGAATGGAAGACATTAGCTCTCACAATGGGAAGAAATACCAGATGCCTGACGCTAATGGGGCGGAACGCATCCAAGCAAGAATAGGTGTTTTGTGTGTAGTTTTTGTGTGTAATTACCTAACTGTAGTTACAGGATGAGAGCTACGCTCGTGGTGTCCCGTCTTCCAAGCACTCTTTGCCATATAACGCTTTGAAACTGAAGAAGTAAAGTGTGTGTGTAAAGTATTTTTTTATGTATTGCTAGTTAACTGCTGTTATGAATAGTAGTTAATGTAAGATCATACTTAATTTGGCACATTCCATTCAGCAGTATGTGCGTGTGTGTGTGTGTGTGTGAGCTGTTAGCTATTGGACCTGGACTGTCTTTTGTCTGATTTTCTGACTTCTAATCTATTATCTCTATCATATCTACGATACTCTCTACTTACACTTCTTATAATATATTAGACCGGCCACACAGCAGTGTATAAATCTCTCTCTCTCTCTCTCTCCATCCCATTCTCTCTGCCACTCTCTCCATTCCTTCCGATTTTTCTGCTTCTCCCCCTCTTTCTCATTCTCTCTTTATCTCTACCTCCCTCACATTCTGTTTCTCTCCTTCCCGCTCTCTATCATAGTGAACCCAAGACGCTCGACTAACATTAAAAACACCGTTATCAACGTTGAATTAACTTCATCGACTTTGATTCAACAGCGATAACATCTGAAAATCCGTGTAAAACTCTATGGACACCGAGACCCACATTTCATTATTGACTGCAGTCGCTGGTATTCGGAATAGGAGCAGATGCTTCCTAATGAGATGCATGGTAGTCGACTTCCAGCTGCTTTATGACACTATACAATCCCGTATCACAATCCCGTATCACAATCCCGTATCACGAACAATCACGTATCACCATGCAACGTTGTGAGAGGCAAACCCACAACATCTGGCTCCTATCCTTGAAAAGACAGTCATACTATTATATATTGATTCTAATTCTTATTATACTTATTCTCTCTCTTCACACACACTCATATAAAGGGCGCTGGTGGTTGAGTGGACAGCACGCTGGACACGTAGTCCTGTGGTCAGGGGTTCGATTCCCGGCGCCGGCGGGAACAAAAATGAGCAGAGTTTCTTTCACCCTGATGTCCCTGTTAAATAGCATTAAAATAGGTACCTGGGAGTTAGACAGCTGTTATGGGCTGCTTCCTGTGTGTGTGTGCGCGCGCGTGCGTGTGTCTCCTACGTTTTCAGTATAGTATACCCTCCTTCCTCCTCCTTGGCCTCACCCCTATATCAACACGTCATATATAAACACCAGTCACTATATTCACCTTGAACTAAATATGCTTTGTTCGCATTATTATTAGTGTTCATTAAACTGGTGAACAGTCAGGGAGTGAGGCAGGCCAGGCAGGCCAGGCCAGGCAGGCCAGGCAGGCCAGGCCAGGCAGGCCAGGCAGGCCAGGCCAGGCAGGCCAGGCAGGCCAGGCAGGCCAGGCAGGCCAGGCAGGCCAGGCAGGCCAGACAGGCACGTAGGCCAGGCAGGCCAGCCAGGCAGGCCAGACAGGCACGTAGTCCAGGCAGGCAGGCCAGGCAGGCCAGCCAGGCAGGCCAGACAGGCACGTAGGCCAGGCAGGCCAGCCAGGCAGGCCAGCCAGGCAGGCCAGACAGGCACGTAGGCCAGGCAGGCCAGGCCAGGCAGGCCAGGCAGGCCAGCCAGGCAGGCCAGACAGGCACGTAGGCCAGGCAGGCCAGGCCAGGCAGGCCAGGCAGGCACGTAGGCCAGGCAGGCCAGACAGGCCGTCGACCAAACGGCCCAACTCCTCATCGTTCTTCACGTCATCCAGGGTAACAAGGCCTTAAGTCACCTTAACAAGCCTCACCACCTT